ATTAAATGCGTGCCTTATCCTACTGAAGCCCCTTGATAGGTAACTCTTCCAACTACACTAAAACATCTAGTCCATGTGCTATGTATCCATTTATTCAACCAATTGTAGATTGAGAATATTCATAGGAATGCTACATCTGCATTGAACATATTCTAGCCATTCCATTTGTCATTAAACTCTGAAAAAAAAATGCTGTGGGACAATGGTTTTGCCCTGTAAAGATTTGTTTCTTGTACTTGTTTAATATAATGCTGATTGGCCAGTAGCCAGGCAGAAAGTATAGGTGTGGCAATGGTGAACAGGCAGGAAGTAAAGGCATGGTAACACGAATTATGGGAAGAGGAAAGTTTTAGTTCTCAGTCATGACCCAGTTGTAGAGGAAGCAAGATAGCAATATGTGACTGCATCACCAAAAAAGGTACCAAGCCACATGGCTAACACAAACAAGAATTATGGGCTAACATAAGTTATAAGAGTTAATAAGAAGCCTGAGGTAATAGGCCATTCCATTTATAATTAATGTAGACCTCTGTGTGTGTGTGTTTTTGAATGAATGACTGCAGGACCAGGTGGGACAGAAACTTTAGTCAACACAAAAAGTCTGAAAATTATTCATGCGTCATTTATATTATGCCATGTAATAAGAATACTCCAGCTCTTTGCCCCATCTACTGTGAGAATGAAGACCATTCTCAGCAATCAGACGGTCGACATTCCAGAAAATGTGGTCATCACTCTGAAGGGGTGCACAGTCATTGTGAAGGGCCCCAGAGGAACCCTCCCGAGGGGCTTCAATCACATCAATGTAGAGCTGAGCCTTCTTGGGAAGAAGAAGAGGCTCCGGGTTGACAAATGGTGGGGCAACAGGAAGGAACTGGCCACCGTCAGAACAATCTGCAGCCACGTTCAAAACATGATCAAGGGTGTTACGCTGGGCTTCCGCTACAAAATGAGGTCTGTGTATGCTCACTTCCCCGTCAACGTCAACGTCGTTATTCAGGAGAATGGGTCTTTGGTTGAAATCTGAAATTTCTTGGGTGAAAAATACATCCGCAGGGTTCGGATGAGGACAGGCGTTGCTTGTTCTGTCTCTCAAGCCCAGAAGGATGAATTAATCCTTGAAGGAAATGATATTGAACTTGTTTCAAACTCGGCGGCTCTGATACAGCAGGCCACAACAGTTAAGAACAAGGATATCAGGACGTTTTTGAATGGTATCTATGTGTCTGAAAAGGGAACAGTGCAGCAGGCTGATGAGTAGACCTAAGTTGCCAGTTCCAGAAACAAGATCCTGAATTTTAATATGATTTGGGGTGTCTTTTGGGACAATAAAAGACTTGTATTGATAAAAAAAAAAAAAAAGAAGAATACTCCAGCAACAACAAGATAAAAGAAGGGCATGTGTCTACTATATACAAACACTTCCCTACTTCCCTACTTTATATGTGTCTGGTGCATCTGTGGATCCTAAACACCCTTTGAGAGTATATGGGATCCTATAACAAATCCTCTAGAAATATCAAATCATAGTTCTATTTTATTAACTTTGTTATGATTAAATTATTTAAGTAAGTCCTATTAAAAGTGCACAAGTAGCTCAACACTATCCAACTAGTAATTATTGCAGCTGGGAATCAACTGAGGCCTGTACTTTCACCCTCTGAATTACCCTGACCCTAACCCTAGTGTGTCACCGTTTCTCTCTGCTGCCTGCAGATGAAGATGTAGAACTCTCAGTCCCTTCTCTGGCACCTTCTCTGCTGCATGCTACCATGTTTCCTACCACAATGGTAACAGACTAAACCTCTGAGACTGTAAGCCTGTCCTAATTAAATGTTTTCCTTTGTAAGAGTTGTAATGGTCATGGTGTCTCTTCACATCAGTAAAACCCCAAGACAGTGGCTAAGCACTTTAACTTGAGAAATTTAGTAATCTATACTGATTGGTAACTGAGTGGTTACACAGTTACAGGCACAGAGAGATTTAGGTCACTTGAGTTTCACAGTGATGTCTAACAGTAGGTCAGTAGGTGTTGCCACATTTTACTTAGGAAAACTGACATTGAGAAGTTTTTTGTTAATAGTAGCAGAGCCAAGATCAGAACAGAGGGATCTAGAATCTGTAGGAAATGGACAGAGAACTTCTCCAATAGGACCTGAGGAGTCTCACTAATTGGTAGGAGGACAACAAGCGGGGTGAGTGCACAGCACTTGGCTTTTTCAATACTGGTCAACGTTTGCTGAGTGACAGCTCTATCTCTGCCTTTATCAATAGAAATGACCTCTTTCTTGTCATTATGATTGATATTCAATAGATTGCCTGAGGTACATACAATTGAATGCTCTAAGGCTGTCTTTTAAAACAAGCTAGAAATTTATGATGGAAATTTCAAAAACAATCTAAGCCAAGATTAAAAGTATTAAGAATTGAAATAATAGAGCTTGTAATATAATTGTTAACTTTTTCAGTAATGAAAAACCAAACTCTAAACAACAACAACTACAACAAAAAAAACCTCTAATACATATTCATATTATGTACTTTCTTAAATTTCCTCTAACTAAAATTAAGGGACTTCTTTTTTAACCAAAAGGAAATAATGAAAGAATGATATAATAAAATATGAGAAGGCATGATTTAAGTAGAAGATGATAAATATTATTATGATTTCACAAAAAGAAATTCATAACCAGAGAGAAAAAATACAAAAATTTGTTAACTATATTGAAATAAAATTAAAAATCGTTGTAGTTATAATTGCACAGAAATAGAGACAAATAATCCAAGAAAACAGAAACAACTTAAATGACCTATAATAAGTGACACGATTAAAATGGTAATAAAAGCTCCTCCAAATGAATATTAAATTCAGGCCTAGCTGAATTCTACCAGACCTTTAAGGAAGAATTATCATCAATGTTCTTCTGGCTATTTCATAAAATAGGGGAGGCCCACTATTAAATTCTTTTTTATGAAGTCACTATACCAAAGCTAGACAAATACACAACCAAACAAATAAAGTATTGCACAACCGCAGTAATGAACATGAGTGCAAGAATTCTCAATAAAATACTTATAAATAAATTAAACCATACATAAAATAATTTCCATACCCAAGTGGACTTCATAAGAGATGCAACATTGCTTTAATATATAAATGAATAATATATTCATATATTCAGTGATATAGATCATATTATTATCTCAATAGATTCAGAAAAGGCCTTTGATAAAGACCAACTTCCTTTCATAATAAAAGCTTCAAAGAAATTAGAAACAGGAAGAACATATATAAATATTTAGTATATAATATTATTTAGTATAATGTTAGCATATAGTTATTTAGTATAATGTTATGATAGGTTTGTCATATACAAATGTAATATAATAAGTATAATAACCTTATACTAAATAGGAAACATACAAGATCAGACATGTTGAGGCTGGTATGGCTATAGGCCTAAATAGAAAACAAAGAAAGCTAAGCATTTCTAGTAAAACTAGCAATGAGACAAGATCGTCCACTTTCTCCACTCTTTTTCAATATAGTGTTTGACCTTTTCACTACAGAAATATGAAAAGATAAAGAAATACAAGAGAAACAAATAGGAAAGAAAGAAAACAAACCTATTTGCAGATAATATGATACTGTACAAAAGAGATGCTCAAGCCTCATATTAAAAGAAAAACCTTAGTATTTATGAACACTTTCAGCAAAAGAGCAAGATACAAAATCAACATGTAAAATTATCTTCTTTTCTAGATACCAATATGATGTGGGAGTGATTTCTTATTAATAAAGAAACTGCCTCGGCCCTCATAGGACAGAAAATTAGGTAGGCGGAGTAGACAGAGGAGAATGCTGGGAAAAAGAAGCTGAGTGAGGAGTCGCCATGATGCTCCCACTCCAGACAGACGCAGGTTAAGATCCTCTCTGGTAAGCCAGCTCATGGGCTACACAGAATATTAGAAATGGGTTAGAACAATATGTAAGAGCTAGCCAATAAGAAACTGGACCTAGCCGGGCCAGGCAGTGTTTGAAAGAATACAGTTTCCGTGTAATTATTTCTGGGTATAAACTAGCCATGCGGGCGGCCGGGTGCCGGGGACGCAGCCCTGCCGCTCCTATTTCAACAGATGGCGCCCAGACGTGATGGGCTAAATCCACTTAAAAACCTGAGAGGGCTTAAAAAGGAGAGAGAGAGAATTTAAGACAGCTTTTTGCTGTTTCTGGGTTGCGTGCCGCAAAGAAATTGTCCTGACTCGGCAGCAGGAAAAAACTGGCTGTTTTAAAATGCCGGCTTTCTGGGCTGTGCCGCCATTGTGATCTCTGTCTGGCTCCGGCGGGAGACAGAGCTTATGAATGGAGCATTTGGATTAAAGTGCTACGATTTGTTTGATGGCAACTAGACTGCTGTGTGCCTAAAAGGGGGACATTGTGTGCCGCAGCTCAGAGGCACAAGCAGCTCCGCCATGCTAATGGTGCAATGTGCAAGGATCAGAGGCACGAGCGGCTCCGCCATGTTGGACTGGGCGGGGCCAGCATACAGTACCTGTTTTTGACCTAGGAATGTCACAGCTTAGATTCTTAAGCGCTTAGTGATTTAAAGGCGCAAAACAAAGTGCTCCTGGATAGTAAAAAAATTACAGATTCACAATAAAACAGATTCAGACACTGTTGGATGAATGTACGTAGGCTTGGGAGAGAGAAGAAAAAGAATATAAAAAATAAAGTTAATGTCTTAAAAAGAAAAAGGGTAAAGTCTTTAAAGAGACAGAGTACAGAAGTACAGATAGTTATAGATTAAGAGAAATAAAGAAAAATAAGCCACGTAAAAATGGAAAATTCACAGAGAGTCTGGATTATGTACATTGTGTTTTCTTTAAAATTTTTGACTGTGAAGGAGCTAAGTACAGAGAGACATTTCATTATATGGGCTGCCAAGCTAAACCAAAATGGATTTCATGAGGGTATTATGATTTCAGAATTTGGGTCTAAGGATATGATGCTTTGGAGAGGGTCTTCTTTTGTTTTTGCAGAGGATGAGACCCTGTGGATTGCATCTATTCCGATTTGGTATGATAGACCACGCCCTCCTGAAAGGTTGCTGTGAATACCCTCAAAAAATTGCTTCGCTCAATTGCCAACTGAGATGAAACTAGCATACAGGTTATATCATGAACAACCTAATTAACGACGCCCCTATTCAGCAGGAAGCAGTTTGTAGAGAAAAAACTACGCCCATGTTCCCAAATATTGTTTATAAATGTTCTTTTACATTTAAAGGGGGATATGATATAGATATGAATAATTTGCATTGGTATGGATTTTATGGTCAATTTTGTTATATGTATATGTATTTTTGATCTTGATTAAGGTATTGTGATTGTGTAGTTCATTTAAAAATGTAATGTATAATTAGGAAATATAGGTTGTTAATGGATAATCATCGCTAATACTTAAGCTTGTAGTCATGTTAGTTAGATTTTCTAGATATATAGAGAGATATTTTAGTTAGATAGGCATTCTTCATATCTTTCAAAGGCTGCAGAATATGGCATTTAAGATATTTTAATAACTTAGGGTTTTTCATGACAATGAGACACATTTGCTCCTGGCAGCACCAATCTATTTCAAGAGGAAGATGGGCATCGAAGAGAATCCTTATGGAGTTTGATAGCCATTTGGGCAAGAAACTGCTCTTGCCTGGACTGTTGCATAAACTGGACACAGAGAACCCGCAGAGAGAGGACTGCTGAACTTGCCTAAAGGTGAGATGACCTTTTGGGGTTCCTGCTTCATGAAAGAGTCTGTGAGACATTCTGCAGGACACAGCAAAAAGTGACTGAACTGTCTTTGGAATTTCTTGCTTGATGAGAATGTCTGCTGGATACTATGGGCCTGTAGGCCGAAGATGGATGCCCCAACGGTACAGAGGAACTTTGGGTGACTGTCCAGGCAGCGAGATGTCTCTGTCATTTCTAGAGTTTTCTTATTTCTTGTTTGATAGGTAATATTATATCCTTCTGGAGTCTTTGATGGAGTTGAAGAATGGTTAGTTATAGTTTTCCTTAGTTATGATAAGAGATAAAATAGATATAAATATTGTAACTGTAATTCTTACTTGATAACTGTTTTGTTATATGTAATTTTACTATGTTAAAGTTAAAGCCTTTCTTTTTTGTTTAAACAGAAAAAGGGGAAATGATGTGGGAGTGATTTCTTATTAATAAAGAAACTGCCTTGGCCCATTTTATTGGATAGAAAATTAGGTAGGCGGAGTAGACAGAGGAGAATGCTGGGAAAAAGAAGCTGTGTGAGGAGTCGCCATGGTTCTCCCGCTCCAGACAGACGCAGGTTAAGATCCTCCCTGGTAAGCCAGCTCGTGGGCTACACAGAATATTAGAAATGGGTTAGAACAATATGTAAGAGCTAGCCATAAGGAACTGGAACTATCCGGGCCAGGCAGTGTTTGAAAGAATACAGTTTCCGTGTAATTATTTCTGGGTATAAACTAGCCATGCGGGCGGCCGGGTGCCGGGGACGCAGCCCTGCCGATCCTATTTCAACACCAATAGAAACCAAGTGATAAAGTAATTAGGAAAACAATTTCATTCATAATAGCTTCAAGAAACATCTAGTGTACTAGAGTTCTTTCAAGGAACATAACTATATGTTTGCTCTCTTTCCCTCTCTCTCTCTCTCTCTCTTTCTCACACACACTTGCACATACACACATGCACAGGCACACACACACAAAATATGAGTGTGTGTATTCCAGCAATGATTGACAACACATTGGAGAGACCACATACTGTTGACTGAGTTTTCTGTCCTGCTTGGTTCCCACAGTTGTTAAGTCCCAAAGAAATCACACAGCAGTCTACATTAGTTATAAACTGATTGGCCTAGTATCTCAGGCTTCTTATTATCTCTTACAACTTATATTAGCCCATTATTCTTATCTGTGTTAACTATGTGGCTCAGTACCTTATTCGACAGGGTAGCCACATCTTGCTTTTCCTATGGCTGGGAAAGGATTGCCTACCAAGCTTTCCTCTTCCCAGAATTCTTCTGTTCTCATTGACCCCCACCTCTACTTCCTGTCTGGCTGTCCCACCTATACTTCCTGCCTGGCTACTGGCCATTCAGCATTTATTTAAAATATAACTAACAGAACACACACAGCAACACACACACACAAACAGGATGAGTGTATATAATCCAACAATGGCTGACAATACATTGGAGACACAAAGTACTTTATAGCTGCTGAGTCTTCAATAATGCAAGTCTCAGCGGAGCTGATCTGAACTTGCAGACCAACGGATTTCTAAACAGTCTCTGGCATTTAGCCCACATAGGAAAGCCAATGAACCTGGGTTCTAAAAGCAGTGGAGGATGATAGCAACCAACAACAACAGTATGCACTCACAAATGGAGGCAGCAAAGTTCTTTTCTCAGCCCTCTTCATATCTGGCATGGTGACAGACAGTGCGACACACATGTGAAAGACTTTCCTTCCTCAGTTAATGCCTGCTGGGAATGTCTTTCTCTAATGAAGTGGAGAAGTGTTGCTTAATTGATTCCAGATTTAATCAAGGTGACGATCATGATTAACCACCTCACCTAGTAATAAATTTATCCAAGGTAGTGAAAGATCTCTATAGCAAAAATTTTAAAACTTTAAAGAGAAATTGAAAAAGACCATAGTAGATGGAAGACCTCCCATGTTCATAGGTCAATAGAATTAGCATAGTGAAAATAGTCACAGCACACAAAACAATCTTAAGATTTAATGCAACCTCCATTAACATTCCATTGACATTCTTAGAAGAAAAGGAATAAAAGATTTTAAAAAATGCCCATGGTACCAAAAACAATCCTTTGTAGCCAGAAGAGCAAAAATAAAGATACTTAAAGTGTCTGACTTCAGGTCATAATTTGGGGCCATAATAACCAAAGCCTCATGGTATCTGTGCAGCCACAAACACATTGATCAATAGAACAGAACAAAGAATGGGAGTCAGAAACAGCAATACAACAGCTTTTTTTTTTCCCAACAATTTCTGGTTTACATGTGAAACATTCCTACAGTCTCATGGTTTGAAACTTGTTGCCTACCTGGCAGCATTCTTTGTCTAAGATGGAAACCTTTGGGAGACGTAGTTATGTGAAGGAACTCACTTGTAGGTGCTCCTTGAGAACAGGAGATCCTTGAGTTGGATCCAGTTAGTGTACTCTCTGCTTCTAGACTACAGACACACTGTGACCAGTGGCTTCACATCTCTTAGGCCAGCTGTTCCCAACAAGGATGAGATCTAAACATTCTTAAGCTATAAGTCAGACAATACCCTTCTGTTGTGCGATATTAGTTTAACTGGGCAAAGATGTGGTGCATTTGTTTATGCTGCATTTGTTTAATTATGTAAAGATGTGCTGTACTTACATTAATTAAATAAAATTAACCTGGGCTCAGAGAGGCAGCATTGCCAACTAGTTGACAGGAAGTAACAGGGAGGAGCATAGGTGAGGTTTTTATTTCCAATGGTGTGAAAGAAGTATGGCTTCCACAACATCAGCAAAGAGAAGAGGTTAACCAGTTGTTACTTTAACTCTAAGCTCACAGGTTTTCACCCTAACCTTTGAATACATAAAATCATGTGGGTGCATATATGTCTGTTCATGTGTGTGTGTGACTTGAATGCAGAAGGGAAATGAAGGGGAAAGTAGAAACTAATTGGAGAGGGAAAGTTACCTAAAGGGAAAAAATTGGCCATGCTGAATAAAGTGCATGAAATTCTTGAAATAAATTGTGTACATGAAATTCAATACTATGAACTATATATATTTTCACAAATACAAAATGAAGATCTAGAAAAGCCTCCTTTATATTTATCTTTTGGTATGTGGTTTAAGAGTAAAAATAGCTAAGAAACAGGTAAATAGTTTTCACTAGTTACATTCTTATTATTTTGTTAGTATTGATATTTTGAGGCCATTAATGAATATATTTGGGGCTAAAACAACAACCATCAAGGAATATTTCAATATTGTTAATATTCAGTTTTTAAACATAAAACAAAAATTATAGAGAAATATATGATTAAATGATTTAACTTTGCTGTCATAATGAATTTATATTTATAGCACATATATACCTACGTACTATATGGTCATGCATATATAATCATATAGTGGAGTTATTTGCCTATCTTTTTTTAAAAAATATCTTTTTAGTACTATCTGCTTAAAAGTTTAGAGATAACAAGTTCAGAAATGAGTCCTTCATAGCTCATTTTATAGTTTGCAGTCATTTTCCACCAAGCAAAGAGGGCATTTTAGTGTAACAATTTATTTCAAATCTGGAGAAATAAAGGTTTAACAGAAGCTGCAGCATCACAATGTCTACAGAGATGGTTGTCAGTAATCATAAACTCCTACTGGCCAAGAAAAAGTAAAATTTCTATACCTATGTGGCTTATCCTGTCGAAAAGGAATCCATGAAAGCAGTCTTTGAGATGAATTCTAACTATGTAACCTAAACGAGGCACAAACTCTTGATTCTCCTGATCCCGCCTTACAAGTAGTTCAAATTACAATGACCATGCAACCATACACTTATTCAAATGCATAAATGATATCTACAGCTCCATATTAGAGGATTTTTGGAAAGTTAAATTATTATTTTTAAACCCAACACATCCGAGAAAAGAATTTCTCCTCTCTCCGATCTTTTCTCTAAGAGGTGTATAGCCAGCTAACCCAATGATAAATGACAGACACTTTCCCATCTTTCTGTAATAGCTGTATAGCCAGCTAACCAGATGATAAATGAGAGACACTTTCCTTCCAGAGAGACTGCACTGATGAGTCAGAAAGTTATAATAAAAGATGATAATCACCACTTTGCAATCTATAATTGATGAATGGATCCAGGTATGGATCGCCAACACCTATTTGCTTCACAAATCTGATTTCATGGCCTCCTATAGTACACAGCCTTTCCAATGACGGAGTTGGAGAAGGAGGGGGCACAGAAACAATCTGATTTGAACATGTTGAGTCTCTGTCCTCCAAACAGAGTGGAGAAAGATCATGACCAAGGATCTGACTAAACAGAAATGTGGAACAAAATGAGCAAAATCAGAAGAGTAGGAAATTGCAGGGAAAAAAATGATAGAGTTTCTTCAACATAATAAAATTAAAGCCTAACAGCTGAGTTGAACGTATATGTTTAGGATGCTCAGAGGACAATGGTGATTCTGTCCAAGCATTGAAGGGTTCTTGAGTCACCATCCTTTACAACAGGAGAAATTAGGGGGAAAATAATAGACACAGAATCAATTGTTTTTCTGTTGTTCCATTCGAGAAATACTGAGAAAGAAGCCACTACCCCCAACACTTGAGGAAACTCCCGTATCTGAAGCAACATTACCAAAGCCTATTCTACGTAAACAGACTTCTGGGTAGCTGGCTAAAACTGTTGAGTTTGATGAATTTCTGGGTGCCAAGTATGGGGCAGTGTAAGTGTAAGAATGCTTGAGGAGGATTGATCTTAAGGAAAACCAAATTTTTCATGGAATTAATCACCAGGTTCTCAGAGAAAGGACAGATTGCTCTTGGCTCTGGCAGAAAGGAGATAGTAATCATTACAGAATACAGTCAGAGACTTTGCCATGGTCTGCCCTCCATGGTAGAGGAAAGACGGCCAGTGTCTTATTCCACTGGTAAAAGAGTATTCATCTGACTCCCTCATCCTTCTTTCTTGTGTGGTAAAAACAAACAAACAAATAAAAAGAGCCATGCTCAACAAAGGTCAATGGTCAGGGAGTCCAGGAAGTAGATAGAAAACAGTAGAACAAAGGAGAAGTTTGAATACAACGTTATAAATTTAAGTTCTCTTATATGATAACACATCAGAAAGTCAGTCTCAGCATTAAAATGGATTCATGGAATGACTGGGCTTAGAAAAGTGAACATCACAGAATGCTTCTGTATATGTGGGGCTACAGTAATGAAGCTGCCAACACGACAGCTCCATGATGTGGAGGAAGGGTTTTAGTGTGAATAAGAGAGAAAATATCCAAAGGCATCTGGAAGAGTCCAGAGCAGAGAGAAAGAGAAAGAGACTGAGTCTGGCCAAGGCTATCTGTGAGAGAAATGAAAGAGAGAACAGTGGAGATAGCAAGATAACAAGGGACAGAGAATAAAACATAGCAAGAAAGGGAATAGCAAGAGACAGCTGGGTTATAAGGAAGACAAGTAGCTCAGGGGAGGGTAAGGCCAGGAGGCTAGTGTAGACATTGAAATGTATAACTGGTAGGAGAAGGGACTGCTGGAGCCTGAAGGCTAACATTTACTTTGATATGCAGATATGCACCACAGGTAACCATAGTTCCCTTCTGCCAGAGGTAAGGGAAATGGCTTCTTTTGAAATACCAGTTGCATAAGTTTTTGAGCAAAGATGCCTTTTATCTG